GAGAAGGCCATTATTTTCAAGCCCTCAATGAGTTACGCACATCCCAACCTTTCCCTGGAGCATTAACTGCTCGGGGACACTTGCAGGGCAACATCGTGGTGCCATGTGCTGGAATGATGCCAGTATTTGCTGGGAACATTTTGCTGTCAAATGTGGGCTTGTGGCAGGGCCTGAGCTATTGCACAACCTCAGATCAATGATGGAAAAGCGGTCGCAGGATGGGAATGGGTGTGATGGGAATGTGGTCAGGTCCAAGCCAGGGCAGCACCTCAATGGGGACATTTACACCACGAAGGAAGGGCAGGAGCAGAGCTCTAACCCACAGCCTGCTAGCTGTTTGCTTTAGCTCTGGACAGGGTTTGGTGGACAAAGACCATCCTGTGTCAAAGCCCATGTTGATTTGAGTAATTAGTTGCTCCTGAAGAAATCCTTGATTTATTACTCTTATTTACGGGCATTGGCTTTGGACTGGGATGCATTCCGGGCTGGGCACCCATGCTGGCATGGAGCACAGCCTCCCACCCATGGGATGGCGATCCCTTGTCTCATCTGTGCCTTTTCCTCCTTGATTTTCTTGCTATAAACCAGGTTGAGATGGGCAGATTCACAGTGATTTACACCAGCAAAACATCAGCCAGCTTTTCCTAAAAACCAGCAAAATCCTGTGTGATCCATGAGTGTGCAGGGAGGGGCTTGGGTCTTCCAGTTTGTCTTTCTCCTGCTCTGCAGGGATCACATGGGAGCACAGGAAAAGGTGTAGGCTGTGTAAGGTGAACCAGAGGCAACAGTGACAGCAATGAAAGTAGAACTTCAGGTTAAAAGGTGTTTTTTAGTGTGCAGATGAACCTCTACATGGAATGGGCAGAAGGTGGAGGTGATGGAACTGAGTGGGTGGTGGGCACTCCTCGTTGAACCATTTGGGAATTTATTTCAGGGCAATTGTTGCACTGAGCAACGTGGAGCTGAGCCTGGGCTGGGATAATCGGTGCTGATCCACCCCCAGGTTTCAGCTCTGAAAGAGTTTGCCAACATCCATCTGCACTGGCAGGAGACAGCATGGAAATGCCTCCCTTCCCAGAGTGCCTGCGGTCATGAGGGCGACCGGAGATGTAAAACATCTCACGACCTCATGCATCGTGCCAAGGGCATGCTCGGAAAAGCCGATCTCTGCCGAGCTAATTCCAGCGCTGCTGGGATCCCCCTGGAATACGTGGCCATATCAGCTTTCGCCTGAGGGTAAATGTGTGTTTGCCGGGAGCACACCAGAGGGTTTGGTGGGTGCCAAACGCTGCTGAAGGAAGGACTGGAAGCTCCCAGTGTGAGCACCTTGGCCTGGCTGAGATGAAACCTGCCAGGAGCAGGTTGGGAAGGCAGCATGGGAGATGAGCCCTTCCGGAGAGAAATTCACTGCAACACTCCCGGCAGCGGATTGAGTGCTGCCTCCCAGATGGGAGATGTCAGCACTGATGCTCATCCCAAGGGATACTTGAGTCTCGCAGCCCCAGAGTTTGGCTCAGAGCAGGTTTCTTGCAGAAAGGTAAACACAGGGAGCAGAAATTATATCTCTCTGGCTCATTAAATTCAGCATTGATGGCATCTGCCCCACCAAGCCACTGATCCTTTCCAAAATGCCTAGGAAAGAATCATGTCCCTGCATAAAGTTGACCCAGGGGTGGTTTTAAGCCTTGAAAACTGCTTAGAGATATGAAGAGCGTGGGAAAGAGTTGTCAGGGGAAGTGTTCCCTGCTTCTTGCTACTGCAAGCCCTGGGTAACACCGCTGAGGGTCCCGCAGGGATGTCGGCTTTCCCCACGTCTCACCTCTCCCCCAGTGCAACAAAGCAGGCCAGCCCTTGAATCTGGCACATGTTTGTGAAGGAGCATCCAAAAGGAGCACTGAAATATGGCCTGGAGACACACAATCCAATCTAGGAGCTTGGAGAGAGGAGAATATTTGGAGCAATGTAATGGACAGGTCCCACAGGGAGTAGAAAAAGAGGAGGATAAAAGAGGGCGCAGAAGGCAAAGGCAAGAAGAGCAACTAAACCCAGTCCAAAAACAAGGGCAAAATTGTTCACTTCCATGGTTAGTCACAATGAAAACATTGGCATTTCATAATTTCTTCCAGCTCAAGAAAAATACCCAGTTAGGGTAGTGGGAGCCTTGGCCAGGTCAGTTTGTGCCAGAGCTGAAGGGGCCCATGGCCCCTCCATCCACCCCATGGATCATTTTCTTGCTTTACTGGGTACTGGACCATCATGGGACTGAGGTGCCAGGTGAAAATTCCCAAATAATTCTCCCCACAAATAAATTCCAGCTTGGGCAGGGAAGCAAAGCTGCTGTGAGGATGAGCTGTGGGTGTAGTGGCAATGCATGCACAAAACCAGGTTTTATCACTTGGTGGTGAGCAGATGGGACTTGGCACCAAATCCCAACATGTTTTCTGGAGCTTGACCACAGGGTTATCTGGAGTGATAAATTCTCTCCTCTCTCTTGTCCAGTTTAAAGATGAGGAAAGGGGATTTGCTCTGGTCAAGATGTGCTGGTGAAAGATGGAGGAAAGACCCTGAGGGCTGCTGCTCCTCATGGGAAGATGCGAATTAGGGGACGCCCTGGGATTGATGCTCTGGACATCTGGGCTCAGCAGCACCAGAAATACCAGCTAGGGTCTTAAAAGGCAGGAATTGCAGCAGGTTTGAGCATGTTTTCCTCAGCACCACTGTCCGATGGTGCAATCTCTGCTCGAAGAAGGGCATTTATCAGCGAGGCTTCAATGTAGGAAGCTGAATGAGAAACAGCACATTGTTTCACCAAGAAATGGTCTAAAGACAGTTTACCAAGTAATTGAGCCCAGAGGGCAGGAGAGACCCCTCCCTCTGCTTTAAACAAAGGTTTTTAGGAGGAGGATGGGATGACCCAGATTATCCCCCAGAGGAGCAGTAATTACCATCCGCCCTGGCAGGCTCAGCAGAGTGGCCAGGGCCGGCTGAGCAGGCAGAATGAGGTGCTGGTTTATCCCCGGTGACCACTGAGCCTCTGTCTTTTGCTGCAAAGATTTTAGGGAATTTTGGGTGATGCTCAGGACCTGTTTGTAGCATACAGCCAGAGGTGGCACCATTCTGGTTTTTATGATGCTGTTATTTAATGAGAAGGTAGAAAACTGGGAGCTTCCCAACTGCTTGACTTGTGAACTTTGGGTAAGAAGAGAAGCCGTTCCAAAGGTGAGCTCATTTCTAACCCCGGGAAATGACTTCATGGACGCTGGTATTTACTCACAAAAACATTGCATGTCAGATGTCCCTGACTAGACTTTCTGTTTCGAGTCCAGTATGAGACAAAAATTTCCTTGGACGAGACAATTCAAGGTTTGGAGGAGGAGGAGAAGAATTGGAGGGGGAAAAAATATCGGAATTTTAAAAAAAACTGAAATGGTGAGGATTTTCTGAGCATAGGGGAGTTTTTGGCAGACAGCCTGGCAGAAGCACCTGCCTGGGCTGAGGGTGCAGGGAGTGAGGGTGCAGGTGATGGGTCCAGCCAAAGAATCACCCATTGTTACTCCCCCATAACTCCCACCAGCTGGAGTTTCTCTCAGAGGGGAAAACGCACGTTTTTCTTTTTTTTTGGGAAGCCAAGACCCTGGCAGTGATTTGTCAGGATAAACAGCAGCAGGTTCCCTGCCCTGCATTTGCACTAGGTTAATGGAAACTATATCCCACGCTGTTTTCCCTGGATAAGATCCCAGTTTATATGGGATGTCCGATGGAAAAACACAACACTTTTATTTAAGGTCTGCTCGTGCAGAAATTGCCACTGAGGCTGTGCTACCCAGTGTGGCTTTCTGGTTTCTGTTTTCTCCAGCATCCTGGGATGATCTGTGGGGATCTGGGGAGATAAGTCCTATTTGGGGATGCTGGAGGATGCTCTGTCCCCTTATGACCCAGTGCTGGGCTGCAATTCTGGGGATTTACTGGGGCACCATCCCAAAAGGAGAGGGTTTTGGGAAGAGCCAAGCTGGGATGTATGGAAACAAGCCCTCCCTGCCAGCACTGTTTCCTAATCCTGGAGACCAAACCTCTCTGATTGTTAAACCAGTGTTCAGAGATTCGGCTGAAGGCTGCTGAGCAGACAACATCCAAGCTGACCTTTGAGGAGATGAACAAAAAAAAGAGGGAGAAAACACAAGGGGGTTACTGTGCAAACGCCGGAGAAAAATAGTCATTTCAATTAGGAACCCCACCCTCAAAATAAGACTTACTGCTAATGCATGCCCAGGACATTTCTGCATGATGGTATGCTAAAAAAATCCTCTCTGAACAGGGACTAAAGGCTTTGTTGTGTCATGAGCAAGGCTTACAGTTCCCAAGAAAAATCCTGTCCCCCTCTTGCATCATACAGTCGAGGATGAGGAGGACATTTCTAGACAAAAAGGCCAGCAGCCAGAACGAAGGACAAACAGGGAATACATTCCTGACTCGCTATTTAATGCAGGTGCAAAGGGCTTTCATGCAGGTGCAAAGGGCTAAACGAAAGCAAAAATAAGGATGAGTGTGTGGGGCCGAATCTCGGCTTTAAGCAGGAGCCCAATGCCAGGAGGAGGTGGCTGCTGTAACAAACAGGCTTCCACCGAACTTCTTTGTGGGTTTTCTGCTATTTTTCTCCCAGGGACCAGGCTGGTTCCTGTGGCACTGGGGGGCGATGCCCCTGCCAGGTAAGGAGGTGATGGGGACAGTCCCCTCCCACGTTGCAGGAGTGGCTGGTGCTCGTGGGCAGTGCCGATGGTGGGTTTGTTTTTTTCTTTCCCCTCAGATGTAAAGCACTTTGAACGCAGGGATTTCCCTCTGTGGTTTCAAGCAGAGAGTTTCCAGCCTGATCCCTTTTGGCAGTTCCATGCAGAAGTGATGGAGGTTTTAGGGGACTCTGGGGTGAACGTGGTCCAGTGCCTGCAGCATCTCTTGCTCTCAGGAGCTGCTCCCACTGCCACACAGTTTGACTCTTAAAACGCACAAAGGGGAAAAAATCCTTTTCTGCTTGTGCCCAGGAGCACTCCTGCCAGCAGAGCAATTTCAGAGATGGTGCAACCCCACTCAGAGCTTGGGCATTTCCTCCTGAAGATAAGTGGGAATTGGTTTAAGGATGGAAAACCTATCCCAGAAAGTGAATCTCCTCCTCCTGGGGAAAAATGCAGAGCCACCACTGCCAGCCTGGGACCTGCAGGGATCTGTACACCAGGTACTCCTTAATTTAATAGCCTAGGAGATGTGAAGGTCTATTTGCATGTCATTAAAGTCCCCAAGGTGCCACTAGGAATGTGTTTGCTGGTGCTGGCCCCAGCAGGGCTTGGGGCTGGCCCTCTGTCACCCCTACAGCTCTTTTGCTGGCCAGAGGAGCACAGTGTCCTCAGTTTCCCTCCCTGCCCTTGCATTGCATATCATATTTTTTAAGCTCTTGTGAGCTCTTTGTCCCTCTCAAGGTCCTTCCCTCTCACTGCCTTATGCCGCAAGAAACATAGAAAGAAGAAGATGGGAACTGATAGAGTGCAGAAAAAAAAAAAGTGTATTCATTACAGTGGCAAAATGCCCCGAGTTTCTTCTTATTAATCCCCTCCTTGCAGCATTTCCAGTCCAGGCACATACCTGTGATGCTCCCACGGACCCGTGTGGTCCAGGAGCATCGCTGAGGGAAGGGGGGTGTGTGTCTGTGAGTCTCCCGGTTGTCTGAGCAACGGGACATTCATCATCAACTCCAGGGATAATTAACTCATTTTCCTGTATTTATAGCAAACCAGTGCAGGGAGTATTGGCACTTATCCCTCACAGGGCCACATTTGGCCACAACATTTTGAATTTTGGCCATTTCTTGCATTACGGCAGCTTTGTAATCGTCCCCACTGCCTGCTCATTAATAGGGCAGCTCGTTAAGCTGATGAGGGCAGGGGTGGTGGCGGCTGCCTGAGCCAGGCTGCCCGTGGGTGCCCACCTCAGCGTGCCCCACTCTGGGTGCAGGGAATGTTTGCAGCAGCATTCCCATCTCCAGATGCCTGCATATGCCTGTGCTAACAGCAGCGTCGCTCCCGGCTTGGCCGCTGGCAAGGGGAGATTTTACTGCTTCAAGGTTTGTTGCAGAGAGGTGATGCAAAGAAACACTGGAGCATCCTGACTCAGCACCGCAGCAGTGGGAGACCCGTGGGAAAGACACGGAGCTTCTTCTCTTGGCATCAGGGCATGCATGTGCCAGGTATGTTCCCATCAGCCAGGATAAATCCTGACCTGGATGTGGGTTTCTCCTTATTTCTTCCAGACAGACAGAAAGCAACTTGGTACTTTTTAACTGCCTTTTATTTTTGCAGTTTGTTGTTTTTTGGGCTGGTCTTTGGGGAGGGAGAGGGTGAAGACAGCGAGGGAATGGGGGCTCGGGGTGAGGGTGATGGGGCTGGAGGAGGGTGGTTTGCTGCAAGATGTTGGCATCAACATCCTGCAGAGCTGGGGAGACAGATTTGATCTCTGCTGCTCCTGTTATCTGTGCAAAGGTGGAGAATGCTTTATTTTGGGATCAGCAAACAGGAAGGTCCTTGAAACAGTAAGAGATGTACTGTACCTGCATCTGGGACTGTTAAGAGCTCGTATCCCCAAGAGTTGGAAGAATTAGCCCTTTAAATGGGAGGTCTCCTCAGGAAAAAAAGGGCAATCAAATCAAGCATGGGGGACCACCATGCTGGTAATCACCCCCCTGCCACCCCTGTGTAGGGGGGTTCTATCTTCCCCTCCTCCTCCTGCTTTGCCTTATGAAGGGAAAGGTACAGAGATGTTGAGCTGGTGTTGCCAGGGTCCTGTGAAAGTCCAGGCTCCTAAATTCTACTGTGATCCTCTCCCAAGAGCCACTGTCAGTCCCTGAACAGTGTGGAATCCCCATTTTCCCCTCCTGGCCACCCCTGGCTGCTCCCACCCATGGCTGCAGGTCCAGCACCAGAGGTGGACCATTAAGATTTAACACATTAATGGAAAGGGCCATGGGATTTCTGAAAATATGATCCCTGCTTGCAAACCCCCTTAGGAAGGACGAGTCCTTGAACCGAGCACGGCTGCCCCAGCACAGGCTCAGCCAGCTCTGGTATGACCCATTCCCAGCAGGATGCTGGCAGACAGCAACTGGTCCCATGGTCCTGGCCACCACTCCTGCTTCCCAGCTGCTCAACCGCCTCGCAAGGAGCTAAAAATATATGTCTGTGTGAGCAGTCACTATAGCTACAGCAGGGGTGAGCCAGGGAGGGCGGCTGGCCCTGGGGGATGTGGTACCTTGGCAAAATGGGCAACACAGAGGGGACAGGCAGTGATGGGACAGGACAAGACGGGACAGGACAGGACTGGCAGATTGTTGCTGGTGCCTCCAGTGCAGATCCCACCCTGTCCCCATTTCTCCTTACACTGAAGCTGCAGCACGCTACACAGCCCCTAAGAAGGGCTTCACTTTGCCACTCGCGTTTCTGCAGGGGATGAGTGAGGAGCAGCTCCCTGCATCTGCCCACTGCCCCACCACACGGGAGGACACCAATGTCTCAGCCTCTGCCTACCCCCAGTACTGGGTCGAGCCGCGGTTCACGCGAGCAGCGAAGGTCCGTGTGATCATCACAGCCATCTTCTTCCTGCTGGCGGCGGGCAGCAACGCGGCGGTGCTGGGCAGCCTGCTGAGGAAGAGGAGGAAATCCCACGTGCAGCCGCTGATCCTCAGCCTGGCTCTGGCCGACCTGCTGGTGACGGTAACGGTGATGCCCCTGGACGCGGCGTGGAACGTGACGGTGCAGTGGTATGGAGGGGACATCTCCTGCAAGGTCCTCAACTTCCTCAAGCTCTTTGCCATGTACGCGGCCGCCCTGGTGCTGGTGGTCATCAGCCTGGACCGGCACGCGGCCGTGCTTCATCCCTTCTCCCGCGCTCACCGCCGCAACGGGATGCTGCTCCGCGCCGCCTGGGCCGGCAGCGTGCTCCTGGCTTTGCCCCAGGTAGGGCTCTGTGCCTACCCTTTGGAGTCTGCCAAGGTTGGGGTGGTTTTGGAGAAGGGATTCCCAACCAGTCCATCCCAATCCATGGACTCCGCTACCACCAGATTGGCTCTGCCTGAGGGAAGCAGCGTGGTTGTGTGCTGGGTGGTCAGGGCTGCTTTGCACCTTCCTCACAGCACCTGTTCAGTGCCACCATCAGGGTTGGGGAAAAACAATGTCCACTATGTTTTAATTCCTTGTGCACATGGTAATCTTCTCCTAAAAATCCACACTGCACCACTGCAAAACACGTTGGAGCAGACCAAGATGAATCTGAGAAGTTCCTGACCATAATAACATTCTTTATGGTGAGAAAACAAGATTTCTCAGCTGTCAGATCCCATCCATCCTGACCAAATCATGAATTAGGTGCCCAGAGCCCCTCTCCCAGTTGCTCTCTATGCACAGGACATAGGCCCTGTTCCAAATCCTCTCTGAGTAATTCTTTGGTTCTCCATTTCAGCTTTTCCTCTTCCACTTGCACACGATTCCAGGAGGGAACTTCACCCAGTGTGTCACGCACGGGAGCTTCCGGGCGCACTGGGAGGAAACTGTCTACAACATGTTCACCTTCACCACCCTCTACATCACCCCTCTGAGCGTCATGGTTGTTTGCTACATCAGGATCCTTTGGGAGATCAGTAGGCAGCTAAAGATCAATAAAGGTAAGCAGGTCCCAGACCTTTAGTGTCCATCATGACTCCATGACTGAACCTGCTCCAGCCTGGAGTTGTTGTTTGGTCTGTCCCCACACCCTTTGAAGGAAAAACCAACTAAGGGGTTTTACACAAACTAATTGACCTTGTTCCTTTCTGTCTTCTGTTTCCTGTGGGCCATGGACTGGACCACGAGATAGTGTCCCCGCTCTGACAGAAGCACAAGCAAAGATGGTTGTGTTCTCCTGGTTTCCCCCCATCTCCAACTATCCCTTTGACTCTCCCTGGCAGGTTTGACAAGAAGTCAAAATGATCACATCTCCAAGGCACGCATGAAGACTCTCAAGATGACCGTAGTGATTGTTGCCACCTTCATCATCTGCTGGACCCCATACTACCTCCTGGGCCTGTGGTACTGGTTCCAGCCAGCCATGATCCAGAAGATGCCAGAGTACGTCAACCACAGCTTCTTCCTCTTTGGCTTGCTGCACACCTGCACAGACCCTGTCATTTATGGACTCTACACCCCCTCCTTTCGGGAGGACGTGCAGTTGTGTCTCAGGGGCATCGAAACAGCAATCACCAGACACAAGAGACACAAACCCATCTCAGCCTCAGAGAAGAACATCAAGGATGGTGCTGTAAATGGTGGAGTGGCCTCAGGGGGCTCCAATGGGACAACTGCCAGTGCAGTCTGATGGAGAGACGTACCCACAAGGAGAAGGGAGGTACAGCTTTGGGGCTGCTTGGTCCCATAGGATCATTCTACAGACTGTTCTAATAAGGTTTGCCACCCAGCTTTGGTGGGTGAGGGTCTCTGGCCAGGAACAGGGAATGCATCTCCTGTCTGTACTCAGGGTGAAAAACATTTGGGAGTATTTATGGTCATTCTGCCATATTCTGGCAGCCCTGTGACAACTAGAAGAATATCTTTTTTGTACCCTGTGCATGCTCTACCCCTGATTCTGGGGTCAAGCTTCTGCACACTTCCAGCATCCACCCCTGGTAGGAGACTCTCCATGTCCTCTGTGGTCCAGGGCCATGTCCATGGGGTGTCCAGTCTTCGAGTGCCCCTTGCAGCTACACCCCGGTGTGGAGATGCATGGATGGTGTCACCCTGAGGCTGCAAAGGTGCAATCACAGGCTTTTACTCTGTTTTCTCCACCCATTGTAGGAAAAGCTCCCTGGAAATTTCGGATCTCCTGGCTCAGAGCCTGCCTGGTTCTCCCATGGCTGTGTGACAAGCCCTGGGAGAGATCTAAATATCTGAGAGCTGACTAATGCAAGGGCATTAGTTCTGTGGGGATGGATTGGCTTTGACAAGAAGGGTACAAAGAACCACAGTGGGATAGGTATAGTGTGGGGGTTCTTCTCCCTTTTGGAGATAACCAGAAGGGAAAACAGTCCATGTTCTGGTGTGCAGGGGATGGTACGGATGCATCCTTACACAGCAGTTTGGGATACAGGGCTGACCAGGAGGGAGGGTGTTTGGGGTAATCAGAGAGTGACAACCAGACATGACCCTGCCCAGGACTCCTCTGGACCTCTCTGTCCCCATGTCCCAGGGCACGAGCTGGCAGGTTGCAGACCACTTGCTGGACGCATTTGCTTTGCCCAGTGCCAGTCCAGTGCCAGCCCCTTGGCTTTGCCCAAGCAGGGCAGGTGCAGACACCCCACAGGTGATGCCAGAAGTGTCCCAACAGGGAAGGTGATGGGAAACAGCTGGTGGATGGAGGGGCTCATCAGTACTTATCAGTGCCAGGTGGGGGCTGACAGTCTTTGGCTGCACTGTGAGGGCAAAGGAGGCTTCTGGATGAGTCAGTGGAGCTGTGGTGAGTAAGATGGGTTATTTGCTTTCTACCACTGTGCCAAAGGTTGCTTGAGAATGTGGAGGGTATGCATTGAAGAGATGGGTTTTTTCAATTGTGTTGTCCTTTCCAGGTAATTAGAAATAGTGGATTATTTCTTTTTTCATTCTCTGGTGATTGTTATTAAATGTGGATTTTTTTCCTTTTGAAGAGAAATTTAGTTTTGAGCCAGGTGGATTTTTTTTTTTTTTTTTAGTTTTGTGAAATTTTGGGAAGTCAGGAGCTCTGGACTTGGCAGGAAGCACTTCCTTGGCTATTTTTGTGGCCACCTCAGCTTTGAACATGCATCTGGACTTTATCAGGATGAAAGAGCTTTGTTTTAAAAACAACTCTTGGCTTGCTGTGGTTGCATATGTAGGGAGCTGGAAGATGTCTCTGCCCAAGAAAGCAAATTTCCCTTGGGCATTGAGGGGGCCTTTTCTCGATCTTGTCTCCAAGAGGGGATGGCTTCCCATCAGTCAGAAAGGATCTGCACTGGTCTCCCAGTGCCCCAGATAACAAATTATTGAAGCTGGATGGGTGGTAAGCAGTCCTTGCAGGCTAGCTGAGGCTGGGCAATGAGGACATGGGAAGCCAGAGCGCTCAGGGTGAGCTGTAGTCTGGTGTTGGGCACTTGCCTTCCCCATGCTAACAATTTATGCTAAACATGCTGCCCAAGGAGGAAAAAAAAATCAATTAGAACTGCAGGAGCCCAGACCACCTGGTGGGGATTAGTGTGAGCCATTTAGGAAGCATCCAAACTCCAACAAGATGAGTAATCGCAGTATGACTTTCCTGGGCTTGTCCTGCTCAAGGTTAATTACACAATGCAGGAGCTGGCTGATGCCAGGCTGGCAAAAATGGGCCTCTTGTAAGGTGGTGGAGATGGCTGGCAGTAAAAGAAGCTATACTCATCAACACTCCTTTGTCTCTCTGTATATGTTGCTTATGATGGCTGATGGGAGGCAGAACTTGAAGGTGTGTTGATTTTTCTGGCAAGCCTTCAGTGAGCAGGAAAGTGTCTTTAACCTACTGAAAACTTTCTTCATCCACTTCTTGCTGAGTGAGAGGGAGCAGGTCTGGCATTGCTCATGCACTTAAGACCACGTGTCCTCTCTTGCCTAGCAGCTTCTCTGAGGAGTAAGAAGCACTTTTTCTCTTCTTTACATCCCGTGGATACAGTGAGAGGGCTGAAGCAGGTTTGGCTTGAAGTGGGCTCAATGATCTTAGAATCCTTTAGGTTGGAAAAGACCTCTATGAAGAGTAGGAAAACTGGGATGCTGTCTAGTATACATACCTTGGTCCTTAGGGGAAGCATGGCACATCCCTCGGGATGCTTGTGGGCACTCCAGTGCTATTCCTTTTGCCCACCTCTTTGATACCTTCCCTCCTGTTGCTGGTGTTCAAATGGACATTTTGGGAAGCCTGGAGAGTGGGCAAGGTGCCCAAAGTGACAGTTTTCATGAGAGAAGGAAAATGTCACTGGAAGAGTGTGCTGCCAAGCCATGTGCCCACCACATGTGGGAAGGGGGAGTGAGCAGGTGGGCAGCACCTCCCTAGGGGAGCTGGGATCGACCTGGGTTTGGGTCCTGTCACAGGTGGACCAAAGCTAGGCCTGTTTTGGATATTCCTCTGTTTCTGCTTCTGCTGTTCTTAAATTTGCTCATACTGCAGAGAGCACATGATTTTTGCATCACTTACCAGGAGCATGAATCCCAGAGCCTCGCTTCTGCCCACGCTGGGGGTGGTCCTGCTTTCTTCAGAGGTTCCCTCTCTGCCCACGTTGCCTCAACCCCCTGGTTTCCAACAGCCCTTCTTCTCAGCTGGCTCCTGAGATCTCCATACATATATATAGTGAAAAACCCCCTTATATTTATGTCTATGTTATATATTTCCCCTTATGGGAGGAAAATCCTCCCACGAAACCTGCCTGTCCCCACCAGAAAGCACCAGCTGCCACGCTCCTCCTTGCAGTCCCAGCAGGATCAGGTTTGTGTGATTCAGTAACAGTTCTTCAATACTCACCACAGTAATGTAACAAACACATTAATAAGCACAGGTAGCTCTATATTTTACAACTCCTCACCCTGGGCTGCCCGTTTCAGACACAGCGGCCCTTTGTTCGGGAGGAAATTCTGATTCATTCCCTGTTAGTGTTTTCATAGCACTGTGCATGTTCAAAGAGCCACGCAAGTGGCTTAAGAGGCTAACACAAACCTTGGGGTTAATTCATAATACTGTTAGTTACTCAGCACAATACCCGCATTAATCCAGCTGACTGCACCTCGCCACGTTGGGAAACACATGCTGAAATCAGCAGGGAGCACAGAAAACAAGCGTGGGAGTAGGATGTTAAGTATTTTGCCAGCCCACTAGGTTGAATGTGAGCATCTTAGATGTATTTAAAATATTTTCCTGTTGCCTTGCTCCGCAGCTGTGGAGCTGGGGCAAGGAGGAGGCTGTGCCCAGCAACCCTGCAGGCCTGGGAGGAACAGGGCTATGAGCCCTCCAAGGGACACTCCAGACACTACATCAGGACTCAGCCTCTACCTGCAACCCTTTTTTTTTTTTTTTTTCAGTCTGTTCAAACTGATAAAGATAGAAAAAGCTGATTTTTTTTCCTTTAATACCTGCTGATCTCATTGCAGAGCTGGACTGTGCATGTCTGCCATGAGCCCTCACAATGCTTTCTCTCTCCGGGGATATGGCCTGGAGCTATTATTACTCCTTTTGCTTACTCTCAGAAACTTTCCTATGCAAAGAAACCCTAAGAAAAGAGCTTCAAATCCCTGCTGTGTTCCTGTCATCTGGCTCAGGAGCTCCCAGGTTTGTGCCTTTCCGTGCAGTGCCAGAAGACAGCCATCCCACAACTGCTGCCGAACCTCCACCTTTTCCAAAGGGCCCCAAACAGCCCATCCGTTCCAAAAGATGGGTTTTTTTCAGATATACAAGGCTTTCAGCTACCCAGTACCTAGCTTTCAGCTACCCAGCATCAAATACCCTACGTTTTCTGGCTGGCACATTACCTCCCCCAGACTTGCATATTTATATGGCACAACATTTAATATAACATGCTGAGGTGGACAAAAAATGGGCACCTATTCCCAGGACCCACGTGTCTCAAACCCCAAGTTTCTGCATTGAAATACCAAGGAGTAAACTACTATAAAGTAGATGAATCTGTTGCACAATAAATTATTAAGTTTATGTATATTTTAATTGCAAATCACTGCTATAATTAGCATGGACACTTCTTGGGCTGAGGCACCACAACATGCTTTGACACTGAGCATTATTAACGGGCTGTAAAAGGCAATGGGGAATTGGATTATAATGTTCTTGTTTTGCAAGTTGTATGGTGAATAAATAAATTTGTTCTGGCAGCACAATTAACTGGGATAAATATGTCTAGCTCCAGCCACCAACAAGAGGGGTTTCTGGAAATCAGCTTGTTCTCAGCCTTGAGTTGAGAAAACTTGATTGGACATTATTTCTGGCAGTTAGGTACCAGAACAACATCAGAAGAAGAGATTTTCTTTGAAATATTTAATGAATAAGGGAGCAATCACAGACTCATTTGCTGGAAATGTGATGAGATTTTTTTCTTTTTTGTGGTTAGGGTTCACTGTGCAATGAAAACTTGTGTTTATCAAGACTGAACTGTGGCACATATCTGGCTTTTCTTTGCCTACAACTTCCCTGGGTCTTCATGGGGTTATTCCATGCCCAGGCAATAATCAGAGGATAGTTATTCCATGCCC